GATGGTACATTGCGTACATCGATCGATGGAGTATCTCAACTTCAACTTCTACGGAAGCGTCATCGATCGATTACACATGGTGTGTATCGATCGATATGTGTCTCTCAATGTCGGATCTTCATAGTCATCTTGGAAAACTCTTCTTTAAGCACCAAAAGGCACCTAAATCATCACTTTACCACAAAATGCTCCTGAACCTGAAAACATACCTAATAGACTCCAAAACATAGATCATTATAATAAAAACATATAGAAAATATGACCAAAAGCGGGTCAAAATCATGGTATATCAACTCCCCCAGACTTAACCTTTTGCTTGTCCTCAAGCAAACATCAAGTCAGTCTTGAAAAGAAGTTTAAAAACAGCAGGTACTCAATCAAAATCTCAACTTAAAAATCATAACCTCCTACTTTGTTGCAAACCACACCTTATTCCTATCAACTACAGAAGTATATTATACCATATCCTAGCTTAGCAACCTAAACATCTAGCCAATCAACTTAAACATTCCTTGTCTATCTATCCCCTCTACTGATTTCATTTATGCATAAAAATAAAGGTGTAGGCTTTACCTTGGGAGTATCGATCAAGGAACACTTGGATTCAACTCAAACAAGTTTCAGGCATTCTCATCCTGGTTCCCTTTCTTTCTTTATCCCCCTTCTCTGAATCCCAACTCTTCTTTCTTTTATATCAATCCCAATGAACAGTTAATGTTCATCTTATTGATCTTTCTTGACAAATTGTAAGCGAATAGTGGGGTCATAGGTAATGTACCTCTCCCTCTGCCTCTCAGGAAATCATCTCAATCTTTTATTTTCTGGGGATACCGAAGGAAGGAAAGAAGGAAACCAAAATTTTTGAGACTTTTACCTTCCAGACTTGCAAGAGGATTCCGATCCCTTGTATACCAAGCCCCAAGACAAGCAATAGATGTCAGGTTAGGTTGGAAATCAGCTTTGGTTCTTCCAGACAATCATGAAAGTGTTGACATAGGTGATCGGTGATCCACTTTAGCATCTATAGTATTTTCTGCAATCAATAAATCTAAGGATGGTGCTAAAGAGTGGTAAGATAAAAAGTAAGACTTTGAAATTTTTTCCCTTTCTTGACTCAATAAAACAAATTTTTGAAAACTTTATCAAAAAGATCAAAAAGAGGTAAAGTAGCATCAGTAATCAACTTCCCCCAGACTTAAATCATACACTGTCCTCAGTGTATAATTAGTCGGAGTTAGAGCATAAGAAAAAGTAAATATATGTAACTGATATCAAAAATTGGAAACGATATACCTGACCGATATGGGTATCGATCGATGGTGAGTCGCCATCGTCGATCGATGCGTATTGGTCTGTGTCGAGCGATATTGACTGGTTCGTATTGGTCGATAGGTATGGATCGTGTGTCTATCTTCCTAAAAACAAATAAAAACGAAACTAGTAAGTAAAAATAAAATAAAATAAGTAAGTAAAATACCTAACAGTGGGTTGCCTCCCACTCAGCGCTTGTTTAAAGTCAGTTTAGCTTGACTATGGAAGTATGGTTGCTAGTGAGGTTGGTTGCAGGTACTTGTTGGTAAACAAGTGTCCTCCTTTTCTTGTGTTTCATCAAACCAAGAGGTTAGAAAGCTTCTTTTGGCCTTCTCACTTCTGGTCATGCTAGTCTTCAAACCATAAACTTCTACTTGGATCCTTTCTAACCACCCCTCTAAGTTGGCAAGGCTGTACTGATGGTTGCCAATCATGCTGTAGATGTGTTCTGTAGTGCGCTGCATGGTGTTGTGGTGTGTTGGATCGTCAGTGGAGGCTGGAGGTTGCATATCGATCGATGCGTTGTGTGCTTCATTGATCGATGGGGATGTGTCAGGTCGGCTGGCGAGCTGTCTTTGGATATCTTCTACCTCCTTCTGAATATCTTCCATTGTGCATTGCAGACCTTTGAAATCACTGTGTAGGGGAAACCAATATTCGTCCAATATTCTGTAATCTTCGTCTCCACAAAACTCAATGGATTTGTAGATCTATGCTGTGATTTCTTCAAGTTCTTCCCTGGTACAGAATTCTTGAGCACGGGTATCGATCGATGGACTGGGTTTGTCATCGATCGATAGCTTATGTAAGTGGTGCTCGATCAGGTTAAGTACGGGTGTATCGATCGATGCAGGGGGATCTGTATCGGTCGATGGCTGTGTCTGAGACTTCAGTTGCGCGCACAGGGTTTCGATTTCTTCTTCAAGGGCTTCTCTTTCATACCGTACTAAATCAGGGTTGATGGTGTTCCAGAGTAGTTCACTCCGAAGTCTTGATAGTGCTTTCTCATATTCATAGGGTATGGTTGCTAACTTCCAGGTGTGATTGCTGGTGAGGCCATCTAGCATGTAGGTGACTTCTTTCTGTGTGTAGAGCTTGCCATCTGGAACTCCTTTAGCAAACTGATCAGCATATCCTGGTAGACAGAAACAAGAGCGACCAAATAGTGAGGCTCTCTTCAGCAAGTTTTCCATATCTTCTTTGGTGACAGGGATGATGTCTCCGTTTACTGCTCTAGCATGGCCAGATTCATCTCTGTAGACTCCATATTCATCTTTCTTTTCTAAAAAGAAACGACGTTCTCCGTTTTGGAAAGCTCTTGTCCCATACTCTCGGTGTGTATCGATTGATGCTAGTCTCCATGCATCGGTCGATGGGAGCTTTGTCTGGTTCGGGTAGTTTTCGATGATAGGAAAACGTGCATGACCATCTGAATCCTTGAAAATACCAAACTCATCCGGAATTAGTGAATTTAAATCGAATTTTGGTAGTTGTACCTCAGATGGTGTTGTGGCAGGATCGGTTGGTGGTCTGTGATTGATATCGATCGATGGAGAAATGTCTTCGTCGGTCGATGGCTTGTAGGTCGTGTCGGTCGATGGCTTGTACTCCTTGTCGAGCGATACGGGATCTGCAGGTTGAGTCGCGGCTTGTAGGGGTGCTGTGTCTACTGCAAAACTTTCGTGATAACCGCTGGCCTAGCTTCCAATCGAGTAATCTCCATATTGTGGTTCGTGTGGGACATAGACTGGTTTGCAGTAGGGTTCGTCGCTTGTTGATTCAAACCGTCGTTTGCGCGATCTGGGGTAGGGCATATCGATCGATGGACTAGGTGTCATATCGGTCGATGCTCGTCGGATGAAGTTCGGGAATGGAGGTTGTTCTTCATCTTCTCGAAGAAATCGGTACTCTCTAGCTCGTTCCTCCTTCTAATCTTCATCATACTCCTCCTGAGGAGTGATACTAGCAAGCTCGGGCAAGTAGTGATCGTTTTCCCAATCTTCTGCACTGAAATCGGCTTCTGGGAACTCGGCTTCGGTCCGTCGGAAGACTCCATCGAGCGATGACCAGGTAGTATTGTCGGTCGATGGTTCTGCAAGGATATCGATCGATGGGGAAGTGGTGTCATCGGTCGATATTGCTTCTTCGGTTTCATACTCTTCCATAGAATCAAATTCGTGGGCACAAAAACATGTGGCTACGAGTGTTGAGCTGGCTGGCCTTGGGAACTTGATTACTGGAACAGGGTCGTAGTGAATGGAAGGGTTGATTAGGGTTAGGCAGAGCTTGTTTGTTTGGAGGTCATAAACAGCTCCAACTGTGGCTAAGAAGGCTCTTCCAAGTAGTAGAGAAGTCTTGAAGTTTAGCTTGTTGGAGAGGATATGGAAATCTGTAGGAATTAGAGTTTCTCCAATTTGTACCTCATGGTTGCGAACGATGCCTCCAGAGCTTTGCTGTGAACAATCTACAAAGATGAAAGTTTCTTCAGAAGACTCTATCTTCAGACCGAGATGATCTGCCATGAGCTTGGATAAGATGCTAACTCCAGATTCTGTGTCACAGAGGGCACGTGGGAACTCAACACCTCTAATGGAGCAAGGTATTGTGAACTTCCCTGGATCATTCTTCTTCTTCAGTGTTATCTTCTGCTTGAGGCTATCTCTGACTTGGTTAAACATCCTCCTGATGTCTTCT